TTCATATCACAAATTACCTCGAAGACTATTGCTGTCACCGATCTTGGTCGTCCAAGTTAATGGCCCATTGTGCGCAAATCTGGTATAAAAGCGAGGTTGTTGTCTTTGGCCTCTGTTAGCACGATTCCGGGACGAATTATACGAATTTCGGTAGTAACTGCTACTCATTATTTTCCAATACACGCCTCGCACTATTATTTACTACACTAATGAATAGTAAATGATTCTCAAGTTACATTTATTGAATGCCCATCAATTTTAACGTTACGCGCTAAAGCCATCGGTGTTCAAAACCTTCATTCGCAACATTTTTTCAGTAGGGTTCCGCTGTAAAAATCAATCGATTTATTATCTTCTGGTTCTAATTCAAACACAATCATTCACGAAAGTTACACGTCGCTCCGTACAATATTCTTAAATTTAAAATTTTTTATTTAAACTCAGCATAGCAGTTTGAACTTTATCCAAAAGAAAACATATTAACGATTAGCTTATACACCCTTAATTTGGGGACCTCAGCCCGTATCTTCAGACGTATTAATTATATAAAACCTTTCCTTGTCATGGATGTCGTCTGCAACGACTGATTCAAACAGCAAAGAAACTTCTTGCGAGTTAAGTGAAGATCAACGGAGTATTTGATACATTCAAATATTAATAAGGAAGAAGGTTTAAAACGCAAACTGTCATGATCGGCCAATTCATCACTATATTGAAAATAATTATTAAAAATTGCTTATCAAAGACAATATTCGTAAAGGTTTTATCAAAAATTGCTCCGAATGTGGAGCAGTAAGGAAAATCTGACCCGGCTACGCATCATATGAATGTGATTCAGTGTCTTTAATGGACTAACACGTAAATTGCTATTAGTTTTTTTCCATTTTCCTGCAATTTAGTTATTATTTGATTTTTAGACATTTTTCTTTCTTTTCTAAGCCGCTAATCATGATTTTTGGGGCTTCTAGCGCAAGCAGCAGAGGTACACGCTTTGATCCGTAGCCTGTAATGGACAGAATGTCAAAGAACTGCACAGCGCTTCAAGGAACTCAATTACTGCGTGTGTGTAGAATAAAAATCCTTCATAGATAGCACTGACAATAAGACTAGAAAGCAAATTTAAGATCCGGTGGTAGAATACCAAAATACTTGATCGTGAGAATTTCTGTGTATTTGTGAGAATGCTTGTTTTTCATTTCCTTCGTTACGCCTTGAGCTAATTATTCCACTGAATAATCAGCTATCACTGAGTGAAATTGAAACAATCGCGAGGGCAGCTCATCTTGAATACTATGGAGGTGTATTTCTTCTGTTATGCTGTTAGCGCGAAACTGCCGCGATTCGCAAGTTAGTGCTTGCACACGCATCACGGCTGGTTGCATCAAAATAACGCAGCGTAAGTTCGTCGTTCAAGGGAATTTGTCACCAAGACAAGGATAGCCACTTCTACGCATTCAAGCTAGACAACCACGGGGATCGAAGTCAACCTCTCTTTCATAATTCCCCAACCAATTATGCGCGTTTTTATCTTTTATACCTCCTCGATCATTTCGTATACTTCATTTGCTATTATGAAACACATTGTATTGTCTTCGGCCCTCTTTTACACACACGATGCATGTGACAATTCCTGCACAAAACTCATAGCGAACTTTACCTTTGTAGGAATTATGGTGAGAATGCAATTTTCTTCTCCAGTCTGGCTTGGAGTTCAGCTACTAAATGAAGGTTTCTATTAGATTAGATAACAGGCGCAGGAAAATAAATGAAGTCCGGATAAATAACCATCTAGAGTACCGTCAAGTCTTTAATTTTGGCTTTCATAAGTGTTTGACCGTGCTTGTCAATCCTACGTAACTGTGTACATTTGAAAATTGATGAAAATGTTTCAGGTTTGCTCCTGAATTCGAGTGCTCTCCTTGGATAAACAAATGTTCTATACTTTTTTCTTTCGCTACTAACGTCCACGTTCACTCATCAAAGCACTGCATGGCTTAATCGATATTGTTTGAATATCTACGTCGTTCGCCGCTTTTTCGTTTTGACTGCAATTAGTTGACGTAAAATTTTAATCTTTCCCTTGTCTGCTTAATTTATTACGTACTATCGTATATTTCTTTACCTGAATCTGCTCAGTTGCGCGTTTCAATGCTAACCGTGTTTTACACAAGTACAGATAAATACGTCCTTCCTAGGACCGTCCACATAAGATAAACATTAAAGTTAAAAAAGTTTTGTTATGCCGGTTTTTGTCCTATCGTAGTCAATCGCAGAGTCGGGAATAGCTGCTCTCATTTAAGTTGGGACTTGTATGACCCCTAGGTAATTACTCACGTTAGAAAAATAGACAAAACTAAATTATTATAAACATGTGTACAATTAAACATCAGAATTACAAACTGAACGCCTTATGAACTCTCTCTGACGGATTAAATAATCTTCTCACGCTACTAGCTGTGTTTCGACGAACATCAGCTCGGAATGTTCATAATCATGAATCATATGATTCAAAATCACTTTTGAGGAGTTATGAACCTCCGAATTTATTTATTCAGTCAATGAGAATACAAGTCAGTTAAGAATTGCTGCTATAAGTATTCAAATCTCACAAAACTAGTGGAGATTACATCGCTAGACTTTGTCGGGCTTGGCCGGTAACAGTAGCAGGATGGACGGTTAACTTGCAGGTGTTGCTATTGCTGGCATTTAACTTGAAAACATTCACAACTAAAGAAAGATAACGCGAAACTGAACGAGTGTTGATCAGAAACGTTGTGATGCCCACCGTCCCATTCTTCGTACAGTCTTCTATTGTTTCCGGCAGAGGGGTGTCCTTGGTTTCGGGAACCATAAGGACCAGCAGCGAACAGACGATGCAAAATATTCCCAAAATGATGGTTGTAAGAAATAAATCCGAAAACCCCCCGTAGACGAATAAAGGAACGACCAAGCTGCTGGTTTCAGCGAGAGACTGAGTAAAACCGAAACCAACCGCTCGGTGCCCAGTAGGGAGGAGTTCATTGATCAACAATTCGGCTATGCTGAACGAGCAGACGATGAAATACTTGGCTATAGCTTGGAAAGCAAGCAGAGCCACCCAGCTGTAAGCACCAACGACGGACATGAGCAGGAAAGAGTGACCCGCGAACATGAGCATGAAAAACAAGGTCCATACCCGCCCGTATCTGCCGAGAATGAAAATGAGCGAAATTCCACCGAAGGTCTCCATAATGGACTGTGACATGAAGCTGATATAAAGGTCCATTGATGACAGCTTCTCTACATTGAAATTAATCGCGTTGTACCCAATGACAATGCAGGACATGATCGTCGCCATTACTAGTGCATTTAAGCAAGTGCTTCTGTTGAGAAGGAAGTCAAGTAGGCTGCCGGCCTTTTCAGGCACCGGTGCACGACAATCAGAGCCGATTTCGCTGGCTAGTGCTTTGAGTGTGAGATCTGCATCAAACGCCTGATTTTCCCAAGAAGCAATTTTTTTCAACACTTCCACAGCCTTTTCCTTCTTGCCGACTGCAAACAGCCAGCCAGGAGACTCGTCGATAAAAATAGGATACAAGAACAGAATCAAAAAAGGCAAAGAAGTCACCAAGCCGAGGTTTATCCAGTCGTTGCATAGCCAGGCGATAAGCGCCAGAATGCAAGCGGCGATGCCATAAAACACCGGAATGAGACAAGAGACCAGCATTCGTTTGCTAACGTCAACGAATTCCAGCGCCCAGACCATCGCCGAGCTATATAGGCTAAGGGTAACCAGGGATGAGATAGACCGCAGGGCCATGAACCACAGTATAGAGGGGGCGAATAAGCTCGACACATGTCCCACCTGGTAGAAAACCAGACACAGCAGGAAACACTGCCGACGCCCAAATTTGTCCTGCACGAACGAAAAGGGAAACGAACCGAGCACGCTGACGGCGATGGCAACCGTGACCACCAATGAGCGGTATATCTCTCTGCCGCAGACCAGATTCCACTG